AAAAGTATTTCATGTACTGTTATATCTCTACCTAAGAGGGTTGTTTAATCATGAGATAGGTACCTGTTTAACCCAGTGGGTCTCATCTGGGGTGATTTTGTCCCCTTTCCCAGGGAAAGCATTAGCAATGCCTGGAGATATGAGAGATTTTTGGTTGTCACCACTAGGGGTGGGGTGGTTGCTACGCATCTACTAGTCAAGACCAGGGATGCAGCAGAACACTCTATAGTGAAACAGCCCCCATCACAAAGAATGCTCCAGCCCAAATAGCAGGAGTGCTGAGGTAGAGAAACCTGGTTAACCTTATTACAAACTGCCAAATCATTTCCCCAAATTACTTTCTTATTTTACATGCTCACCAGAGCCTCTCCAGCCCCTGGCACTGTCAGTCTTTTTAACCGTTTGGGCGAGTGTGTTTTATTTATTTATTATTTATTTATTTATTTATTTATTTATTTATTTATTTTAATCCTCACCCGAGGACATTTTTCCATTTTTTGTTCAGATAGAGTGGGAGGGAGAGAGAGGATGAGAGAGAGAGAGAGAGAGAGAGAAAAACATCGATGTGAAAGGGACACATCGAGTGGCTGCCACCCGCACGACCAACCAGGGCCAGGGACAAACTGCAACCGAGGTACATGCCCTTAGCGGGAACCGAACCTGGGTCTCTCTAGACCGCAGGCCAACGCTCTAACCGCTGAGCCAAACCGGCCAGGGCTGGGCGGGTGTGTTTTAAATCTTTTTTTTTATAACCCTTATCCGAGGATTTTTTAAAGATATGTTGTTATTGATTTTTTTTAGAGACAGAGGAGGGGAGAGAGAGATAAAAACATCGATGCGAGAGAGACACATCGATCAGCTGCCTCCTGCATGCCCTGTACTGGGGATCGAGCCCACAAACTGGGTATGAGCCCTGACCAGGAATCGAACTGGTGACCTCTTTGGTGCATGTGAGGATGCTCAACCAATTGAAACATACCAGCTGGACAGAGAATATTTTCCCATTAATTTTTATTATTTATTTTTTATTAATCCTCACCCGAGGATATTTTTACATTTATCTTCAGGCAGACGGGGAGGGAGGGGGAGACACACACACAGAGAGAGAGAGAGAGAGAGAGAGAGAGAGAGAGAGAGAGAGAGAGAGAGACCAACGTGAGAGATATACATAGATTGGTTGCCACCCACACGACCCCAACTGGGGCCAGGGATGAACCGCAACCGAGGTATGTGCCCTTGGGCGGAATCGAACCCTGGACTCTTTGGTCCGCAGGCCAATGCTCTAACTGCTGAGCCAAACTGGCCAGGGCTTCCCATTAACTTTTAGAGAGAGTGGAAGAGAGGGGTGGGGAGGGGAGAGAGACAGAGAGAAACACCGATGTGAGAGAGAGACATTGATTGGCTGCCTCCCACATGAGCACAGGCCAGGGCTGGGGATTGAACCTACAACCCAGGTACATGCCCTTGATCAGAAATTGAACCTGTGACCCTTTAGTGCATGGCTGACACTCTAATCACTGAGCACACTGGCCAAGGCTCTTTTTTTTTTTTTTCATTTATTTATTTTTTGGTACGTGCCCCTAGCGGGAACCAAACCCAGGACCCTCTGGTCCTCAGGCCAACGCTCCAACCGCTAGGTGACCATGGCTTTTTTTTTTTTTCTTTTTCCATGCTAACTCTTTTATATCTTAAAAATAATTTTGAGCCCTGGCCAGTTTGGCTCAGCGGTTAGAGCGTCGGCCTGCGGTCCAGAGAGTCCTGGGTTCGGTTCCCACTAAGGGCACGTACTTCGGTTGCAGTTTGTCCCCGGCCCTGGTTGGTCGTGCGGGTGGCAGCCACTCGATGTGTCCCTTCAGGTCGATGTTTCTCTCTCTCTCTCTCCCTTCCTCTCTCTCCCTCCCACTCTATCTGTACAAAAAAATGGAAAAATATCCTCGGGTGAGGATAAAATAAATAAATAAATAAAATAATTTTGAATTGATCAAATCAATATAAAAAATTTTAATGTTTGTTAATGTTGGGTGGTTGAGTGGCAGGTTTACTTTAGGAAGCTCTGATCTTTTCCTTTTCTGGATATAAAGTTTTGGAGGGAGTGTGTGTTTGTTTTTGAATAGTAGAAGCTCCCCCTGGCTGCATGAATGGTGGGTGTGCTGGAGTATTTTGCTGTTTTCCCAGACTTCTCACCTGGACTCAGCTGGCTTCAGCAGCATCCTCCATAACTCATCTCAGATGATCTAATTACTCCCAAGCTAGCCTCCCACCTGCTTTCCTGGGACACCTCCTCTTTCCCTGGAGGAATTGTTATCTCCAGGCTTTGGTCTCTCTCTCTCTCTCTCCCTTCAGAGGATGCTGGCAAAGTCTAATGGAGGGAGATGGCCTAGGCTTGAATCCCTGACAGCTGTGGGACCTTGGGCCTAGAATTAACCCTCTCTGGACCTCAGGTCACCCACCTGACAATGAATATGCTAAAGCACCCACCTCTGTGTGGGGTTCAGATTCAATCTGTGTATATATTTAGATTTCTTAGGACAAAGCTGAACCCTAGGGCAGGACCTAGCGTAAGGAGAGGGAGGCAATTACCTCAGGTACAAAATTTAAGGGTGTGCCAGAAAACTCAAGATACACAATGTTTTAATGCAATAATTTTTTTTTTTTAATTCATGCAAAAAGTTTAAATAAAGACAGCATTAGCCCGGCTGGTGTGGCTCAGTGGTTGAATGTCGACCCATGCACCAAGTGGTCGCCAGTTCAATTCCTGGTCAGGGCACATGCCCAGGTTGTGGGCCCAATCCCCAGTGCAGGGTATGCAGGAGGCGGCCAATCGATGTTCTCTCTCATCGATGTTTCTATCTTTCTCTCCCTCTTCCTTCCTCTCTCTCTAAAATCAATAAAGAAAAAATATTTAAAAAAAAAAAAAAAAGACAGCATCAGTAATCTTGATCTTTTTCTTCTGCCTCAGGCATTAACATGTCTTGGCATTATGCAGCACTGTTACTGATTCCTGTCTACTTAAATTTTTTTTTAATATGTTTTTATTGATTTTAGAGGGAGAGGAAGGGAAAGGGAGAGAGAAACATTGGAGAGAGGAACATCGATCATTTACCTCCTGTATGCACCCCGACTGGGCAACTTATCGATGTTCCACTCTCACTTTGATGTTTCTCTATCCCTCTCCCTCTAATATCAATAAAAATATATCTTCAGGTAAGGATTAAAAAATAAATAAAAATAGTCCTGGCCGGTTTGGCTCAGCAGTCTGAGCACTAGCCCGTGGACCAAAGAGTCATGGGTTCAATCTGGTCAAGGGCATATACCTCCATCACGGTTCAGTTCCAGGCCCTGGTCAGGGTTGTGCAGGAGGCAACCAACAGATGAGTCTCTCTCACATTGCTGTTTCTTTCTCTCGCTCTCTCTCTCCCTCCCTCCCACTCTATCTGAAGATAAATGGAAAAATATCCTTGGGTAAGGATTTAAAAAAAAAAATTTTAAGTAAAATAAAAATTTTAATTTTAAAATTGTGCGTTCAAATATTATTTATTTTGATGACTGAGGTGTTTGTTTTTTGTCTTCTTTTGTTTTGGGTGCCCCCTTAATTTTTGCATGCCTCACCCTTGTCCTGACCCTGCTGGGCACATAGCAGGTGCTCCATTAAGTGCTATGGTGTAATTATTACATACAATATCTACTTATAGTATGTAAAGTCTCCCTCTGGATTGACTAATTTCTCTTCATTGGGCTTTTTGGCTGAAACTATACTTCTAATAACTTCAGCTTTATATTCAACGTCTAGAATATAGACCCCAAGATAGCCTAGATGAAATGAAATTGAAATGCTGGAACCTCCTTGGAAAACAGTGGTGTAAGGGTTAACTGTGTCAGGGGCCTAGGGCAACCTGAATGCTAGAGCAGGCTTATCTGTTTGACCTGCTTACCCACGGAAGGCCCCCTCAAATCCCCAAATCAAAACGTAGCTGAGAAAAGACTGACTATACCAGGTGTGGGCAAGGACTGAGTAACTGAAATCAATAACAACATATCTTTAAAAAAATAAGTGAATGGAAAAACTGTGTTGGTTATATTGTGGTATAATTACACAGTGGAATACTACGCAACAATAAAAAGAATGAATTATTGGTATGTGCAGCAACATGGACAAATCAAAACATTTTGTTGAGCAACAGAAGCCAGACACAAAAGACAACCTATTGTATGTTCCATTTATATCAAATTCAAGAACAGACAAAACTATAGTGATAGAAATCCACATAGTGGTTCCCAGGTGGGGGCGAGGAGGGAGGTACGGTGACAAGGGGTGTGGTTGTCTTGAGGGGGCACAAGGGAACTTGTTGGAAATGTTCCATATCTTCACTGGGTAATAGTCACTCGGGTGACAATCTGTTCCTTTTACTATAAACTTGACCTCAGTCAAGTCCTAGAGGAAAACATGTTGATTTTGGTTTTGCTGCCTGAACCTGCATGCCCACTAGCACAGCGTCTGACTCAGCAAACAGGAACAGTTGCTCCGACCACTTCTTTCACCAACCCCTGCTCCACTGCAGGCACAAAATGCCCTGTCCACGCTGGAATCATTCCAAGTTCCCAATCTTCCTCAGAGCCTTTTCAGAGCTAACCCTCCGGAGGACCGGAAGGTCGCGATTGCCACCACAAAAGCCCTAAATTCCGTGCCCAGCACAGAGGCCACATTTGATAGCAATGACACATTCACTATAGGCCAATCATACCGGCTTTGATTGCCAGTATCAAATATGGCGGCTCCCACCATGAGACAAACCTCGATCACGTGACGGTACGCAGTCCGACGCCCGCCCAACCCACGCGGGCGCCTATTTTTAGATTAACCAACCAATCCGAGGCAAAAGGCACGCCCTCTTGCCTCTCTCCACCAATAGCCTCCCGACATCTTCCGCAGAACCCAATCACCGCTTCCGCTTCTCTTGACTGAAAAGCCAGCGGTCCAGTGAGCAGACCCTCAGCCGAACGCAGAAGGCAGGAAGCGCTATAGCTCGTATCGGGGCGCGGGACCGGTAACCGTGGTTGGTCGGCTCTCCTCGGAGCACGCGGAGGCGAACGGGGAAGCAGGTGAGCGGCAGGTCGGGGCGCGGGGCCGCGGTGCGGGTACGTCGGAGCTGCGGGTGAGCGGGCGAGGGGAGACGCCGGAGTTTGAGGGGAGAAGGAAAAGGGGGCGCGAGACAAGGTGGGGCAGGACGGTTGGGGCGCGCGCGTCCGCAGCCGTTGGACGCCGGGGCGCATGCGTCAGGGGCGGGACGGCAGTTGGCGCGCGGGATGCGGGGCCCGTTTCCGGGAGGTGCTGTCATGGCGGCCTGCAGGGCGATCCCTACTTCGGGAGAGAACCTGCCTGTTCGAGGAAACCTCGAGGCGTCTCGGAACTGTTGGGGGAGGGGTTCAGAGGGCGACGCCGGGGTCTGGGGCCGCGATGGGAGAAGCCGGAGTTTGTAGACGTGATAGGGTTCTCCGAGCCCGAAGGACTTCCATCCCCCACATGGCTTTGTTCTTGCTCTGCGTTTAGGGGGGATTGGCGGTCCCAGAGACTTAGGACAAAAACCATGTCTAACTAGGGGACACACTCTGAAGTGGATAGCCTTCCTGGGATTTGAGAGTGAAAGGGTCCGGGTATGTGTCTGAGTTGTCACAGGTGATGTCAGCTTCCAGTGCCATCCGCTCCTGGGGCCTCAGCAGTCTGTCAACCCCTTTGGGCGGGACAAACCTCGCCCAGTCCTCTCCTGGTCTAATTTGTGTTGAGCTTTTGATCCTGGCTAGCCACTTTCTAGGAAATTTTTTGCCTCAATATGTTCTCAAGTCTACCTACCCTTCAAAACAAAACAACTTTGGCCTCTGTATTTATTTTTCTTTTTCTTTTTTTATCCTCACCCGAGGACATTTTTGCATTTCAGATAGAGCAGGAAGGAGAGAGGGAGGAAGAGAGAGAGAAACATTGATGTGAGAGAGACACATCAACTGGCTGCACGCACACAACCCCTACCGGGGCAGGGACAAACTGCAACCGAGGTACGTGCCCTTAGTGGGAACCAAACCCTGGTCTCTCTGGACCACAGGCCGATGCTCTAACCGCTGAGCCAAACCTGCCAGGGCTCTGTATTTCTTTTAAATACACCTCTTTTCATGGCCAGCTAAGTTTCAAGCCCAGCATAGCATACGCTGGCTGTCTACTGCCCACAGAAACCCAGGGCATGGTCCCACCTTGTAGTCATTCCCCCTCTTCCCTAATTAATAAGGCCCCTACCTTGGTTAATCCTCTTTCCCTTGGTGACTGGTTTTCCGTGATGATGCTGATCTCCTCCCCAACTCCTCCTACTAGTAACTTGCTCTTGGGCAAATGAAGGGCAAATACTGATTGAGTCACTCAAATCTAAAACCTAACCAGAGATTCCCTAGTACAAATGCCCTGGACTTGACCAGCTTTCCACCTTTGTCTTCTGTCTCAATGTTAACCAGTCAGTCCTACTCTTTTTTTTCCCCGTCTTTATTGATTTTATCATTATTATTTTTTAATCCTCACCCGAGGACATTTTTCTACTTTTTGTTCAGATAGAGTGGGAGGGAGAGAGAGGAAGAGACAGAGAGAAACATTGACCTGAAAGGGACACATTGAGTGGCTGCCTCCCTCACTAGCCAACCAGGACCGGGTCGAGGACAAACTGCAACCAAGGTACGTACCCTTAGCGGGAACCAAACCCAGGTCCCTGAACCATAGGTCGATGCTCTAACCGCTGAGCCAAACTGGCCAGGGCTCTTTATTGATTTTAGAGAGAGAGGAAGGGAGAGGGAAAGAGAGAGAGAAACGTTGATGAGAGAGAACATTGATTGGCTGCCTCCTGCATGCCCGCAACCTGGGCATGTGCCCTGACCGGGAATCAAACTGGCGACCTCTTGGTGCATGAGTCGATGCTCAACCACTGAGCCATACTGGCTGGGCAGGACCACATAGTATATGGTTCCATTATATGAAATGTCCAAAATAGGCATATTCATAGAAAAGAAAGTAGACTAGTGGTTGCCAAATGGGTTGGGGGGATATAATGATAGCTAAAGAGTACAGGGTTTGTTTGAGGTGGTGAAATGTTCTAAAACTGACTGTGGTGATGATTGTATATATCTGTGATTACTTTAAAAACCATTGATTTGTACACTTTTTTTTTTTAAATCCTCACTTGAGGACATTTTTTTTTGCATTTATCTTCAGATAGAGTGGGAGGGAGAGAGGGAGAAAGAGAGAGAAACATCGATGTGAGAGAGAAACATCGAGTGGCTGCCACCCACACTACCCAACTGGGGCCAGGACAAACTGCAACCAAGATACGTGCCCTTAGCGGGAACCGAACGCGGGACTCTCTGGTCTGCGGGCTAACGCTCTAACCACTGAGCCAAACCGGCCCGGGCTGAATTGCATACTTTTAAATAGTGTAGCATGTGAACATCTCGATACAGCTGTTCTAACTTTAAAAAGAAAGGTAATGGCAGCTTGGGACCTACAAGGTACCAGGGGTAAGAACTGGCTTGATCATTCAGGTAGGATTTGTTGTCTGATTGAACAGGAAGATGAGAGAGAAGATAGCCATTGAGAGAATAGAATTGCCCTTTCTGAGATGGGGAAGCAGCCTGTGAGGAGAAATGGAGGGTTTTCTTTGGGCATTTTGAATTCAACTTACAGAGGGAAATGTGGAAGAGGCAGCTGGTAATTGAGTGTGGAGTTGAGGGGAGTCTGGTAACTGAGTCTGGAGTTGAGGGGAATCATTGCTGTTAGAGACACAAGTTTGAGAGGCCTCAGTACAGAGGTAGTGAAAACCCTGGGGCCAGATGAAGTCACACAGATAATGAGTGACAGGAGGGCCATAAACTGGGCCCAGGACCCTCTGCACCCAGCTCAGAAAGAGGGGCTCCTTCAGCACTTCTGTCCCATAGATAGGAGGCTGGGGTGGTGCACTACAAGACAGTATTGTCAGATTTGGGTCCCTGTAGCACTTGCAGCACATCTTGCACCCAGGAGAAGCTCTGTATGTATTGGATTAAATAGAGCCAGAAGGTGAGCTAGCTATGTATTAATTCCATTTACCATCTCAACTTCATTTTTATTGGCCCAGGCCCAATGTGAGGCCTTTTCATGAGAGCACTTCATTATTCCCCAGTGCAGACCACAGAGAGTGGGAGGAGCCAGGACTGGAGAGTTGGGGCTGGGCAGACACTGCTTCCTCACAGATGCAGGTCTCTGCAGCATCAGGTACAGGCTGGGTGGATTCCCATTGGATTGATGGCGATTGATAGGGACAGGGCTCCTTTAGGCTAGTTGGTCTCAGGCAGTTAATTACAACTAAGACTGGAATGCTGAGAAGGAGGCGTTTGTGCAGAGACCTAGGAGCAACTCATTCTGGTGGCATCAGTAGGCTATAAAAACTTGAGGTAGGGACTCCCTGAGTCTGAGCAATCAAGCAAGGCTGGAGTGATTTGAAAGGAGTGGTATGGAATGAGGTCTGCAGGGGCCAAGGAGGTGGGTTATGAGGGCCATGGGGAGGAGTTGGGATATCACTCTGAGAGCAAGTGAAGCCTTTGTGGAGGGTGTATGTGCACATGAGGGTGTAGTTGGCAGGGAGCAGGGAGAGCTGAGGTGGCTTGGAGGAGAGAGGTAGATACGTGGCCACAACCACAGGCTGAAGCTGGGTGGTGCTGAACAGGTGGAGCTGACAGAATGTGTTGCTGGAGTCAAGGTGGGGAAATGATGTCCTGTCTCAGCTTCATCAGCTAGGTGGCTTTCCAGGCCAGCCCCTAAGATAGGACCCCAGTGCATTGCCCCTCTTGGACCTATGTCACCAGCCTGCAGCCGGTGTGTAGCCTTCTCCCTTGCTGGTGGGTTTTCCTGCATACATCTCAGGGCCCTTTCTCCCTCCTCTGTTCTCAGCATTATGGCGGAGCAGGATGTAGAAAACGAGCTCCTGGATTACGAAGAAGATGAAGAGCCCCAGGCTCCTGCAGAGAGCACCCCAGCGCCCCCGAAGAAAGATGTCAAGGGGTCCTATGTTTCAATCCACAGCTCTGGCTTCCGGGATTTTCTGCTGAAGCCCGAGCTCCTGAGGGCCATAGTAGACTGTGGCTTTGAGCATCCATCTGAGGGTATGCCTCCTTGTTTCTCCCCACTACACCTCTCCTTTGACTGCCCCCCCCCCCCCCGTGGTTCCCTCAGGCACCTGGGGAGGGGCCCACACAGGGAGCATTCCGTTTCTAATCACTCATGGGCTTTCTCCCTTAGTTCAGCATGAGTGTATTCCCCAAGCCATCCTGGGCATGGATGTCCTGTGCCAGGCCAAGTCTGGAATGGGCAAGACAGCAGTCTTCGTGCTGGCCACCCTACAGCAGATCGAGCCTGTCAACGGACAAGTGAGTGGGCACCCTCCCTCCCAGGCCTAAGCTACCTGAGGTAGCTTAGACCACAACTCCACCTGTTAAAAAGTCCTGCTCCCACATTCTTTTTGCAGGCTTTTAAAATGAAGTACAGTACTTAGTTTTAACAAAATTCCCCACAAAAATAATAAGCCAAGAGAAAAACTTAAAAGTGTCCAGTTTTACCATCCAGAGACATGGTTGTTTTGTTGTGTACATTCTAAATTGTCCCTATTTCTCAAGTGGGGGTTACACTACACACAGCTTTGTTACTGCGGCTGCTGTTGATAGGCCATAGCTGTCTTTTCATTGTGTTCCACTCTTGGGGTATAATTGAGGTGAATACCGGTGTTTTGTTGTTACATTAGGGCAACATTCTTGTGCTGTGTGTGGGTGCGTAAGCCTTTGTTTTCTTGGGGTACATGGAGGAGGGAGGTTTAGTGGGAGGTTGTGGTGTGGTTGCAGAAGGCCATTGTAGCTGGAGAGCAGAGACTCAGCACTGGGCCTGACGCTGGCTAGAGAACAGTAGTGTGGGCTCTGGCTGGGGAGGATTGAGTGAATCTCTCCTGCCCACCCCACAGGTGACGGTTCTGGTCATGTGCCACACTCGGGAGCTGGCCTTTCAGATCAGCAAGGAGTATGAGCGCTTCTCCAAGTACATGCCCAGTGTCAAGGTGAGCCCCCTTGAGCCGGGCCTGGCGCCATGTGGTCCTCTGCAGCCTGGCTGGACTCAGCTCTGGCCGAGCCAGCATTTACCAAGCTTGGCTACAGCAGCTGCCTTTGAGGTTTGCGGTGGTTTATACTCCTTAAAAGCCTGATGAATTATGCATGGCCCCCAGAGACCTGCACTGGTCCCAGCCCTGGGCTGCTTTTCAGTGGAGCTGTGCCCAGGCTCTCAGGCCTCTCTAGGCTTGTGGTATTGGGGCCTGCAGCAGACTGAGTTGGCAGGGCCACAGTCTGGGTGGCTGTCAGCATGGAGTGGGGCATGAGGTGTTAGTCCTTAGATGGGCAAAAGTGACTTTCTCTCCACCTGCATAGGTGTCCGTGTTCTTCGGGGGTCTTTCTATCAAGAAAGATGAAGAGGTGTTAAAGAAGAACTGTCCCCACATTGTGGTGGGGACTCCAGGACGCATCTTGGCACTCGTGCGAAACAGGAGCCTCAACCTGAGAAACGTGAAACACTTCGTGCTGGATGAGTGTGACAAGATGCTGGAGCAGCTGGGTGAGTGTCCATGCTGGTCTGTGGGGGCTGCTGGAGACCCAGTCAGCCACACCATCCCCTTCACAGCCCCCTAGACTTTAGAGCCAGGTGGGCCCTGATAGGGCAGGCTGGGGATTTCCCCAGTTGGAGTCACATGGGTGGCTGGCAGGTCTACTATAAACAATTTTAGGGTAAGTTCTTGTTTTGGCCGAAAGTGACCTGCTACTTCTGACCCCAGGCTGAGTGGGACCACAGGGCCCAAATGAGCCACTGTCTAGTGCACACACGCACACGTGTTAGCCCTAGGCTTGCCGTGGCCTCATTTCCTGCTGGGTTAGTTGTAGGCCCCCTGCCTGCCTGCCTTCAGTGAGCCATGACAGGGCCAGTCAGAGATGGGGCTTGTGTCCGGGGAGGCAGCTGCAGCTCTCACCCCAGCGGCTGTCTCTGCCTCAGGCTCCCTTCCCTGAAGCGTGGCTCGAGGTGCGCTGGCACGGCTGCTCCGCTCTGGCAGCGTGTAAGTGGATGCAGCTCCTCCTGGGCCTGCGCTCACCCCGAGTCCAGCCCCACAGGCATTGGGGACTCGCCCCTCCCTCTGTTCCTTGCTCACACCGCCCTCATCTGGGTGCCAGGTTGGGAGGGGCTGGGACTGGTCTCGGGTGGGGGTCAAGGTCTGGCAGGCGCTCATGCCCACCTATTTCTTGCCCTCCCCACCCAGACATGCGGCGGGATGTACAAGAGATCTTCCGCCTGACACCCCATGAGAAGCAGTGCATGATGTTCAGTGCCACCCTGAGCAAGGAGATCCGGCCCGTCTGTAGGAAGTTCATGCAAGATGTGAGTAGGAAAGTGGCCAAGACCTCAGTGCAGCAGCTTTGGCCCTCCTGGGTCCTGGGGCCCAAGCTGACACTGCTGTACGACATCCTCGCTGCCCTCCTGGCACAGCAATGCTGGGAGATTGCGGAGCCCTCCCTCCCTTCCTCCTCTGTCTTGTCAGATTGGGAGCTGAGCTTGGTCCACACCTGAATCAGACCAGAGCTTAGATCCAGCTTTTGGGAGAGAAATGTTTACTGGGTACAGCAGCCTCTCCGGGAAGCATCGCATGGAGTCGCTCCTGGAAGGTTCTGGGCAGGCAGGGTGCCCAGAAGTAAGCCCTGCCTGCTCCTTCCCACTCCCCTCCCTTCAGCCCATGGAGGTGTTTGTGGACGACGAGACCAAGCTCACGTTACATGGACTACAGCAATACTATGTCAAGCTCAAAGACAGCGAAAAGAACCGCAAACTCTTCGACCTCCTGGATGTGCTGGAGTTTAACCAGGTGACACTGCTGTTGCCTGTTGTGGGGTTCTGGGCCTTAGGAAGAACAGTGCATGGGGACCCTGGCTCTGACTCCGCTGCCTCCCTCTGGCAGGTGGTGATCTTCGTGAAGTCAGTGCAGCGCTGTATGGCCCTGGCCCAGCTGCTCGTGGAGCAGAACTTCCCAGCCATCGCCATTCACAGGGGCATGGCCCAAGAGGAGCGGTGAGTACATGCTGCCATGAAGGCCCAGGGCAGGACCCTCAGAGGAAGTGCTACCCAGGAGCCCTGTACCTGATGGCCACCTCTTTCTCCTGCACCCAGCCTGTCACGCTATCAGCAGTTCAAGGACTTCCAGCGGCGGATCCTGGTGGCCACCAATCTGTTTGGCCGAGGGATGGACATTGAGCGAGTCAACATCGTCTTCAATTATGACATGCCTGAAGACTCAGACACCTACCTCCACCGGGTGAGTGGCCCCACAAAGGTGTCACTTCCTTGATGACCCCTACCTGGGGTGGGGACCTGGGCTCACTTGTCCTCATATTCCCAGGTTGTGCCTCTGGCCTGACCTGTGCTCCTGTCTCCCTGCAGGTGGCCCGTGCGGGTCGCTTTGGCACCAAAGGCCTGGCTATCACTTTTGTGTCTGATGAGAATGATGCCAAAATCCTCAATGATGTTCAGGACAGGTTTGAAGTAAATGTGGCAGAGCTTCCTGAAGAAATTGACATCTCTACATACAGTAAGTGGCTTGGGCAGGAGGGCTGGGCTGGGGCGCTGGGAGGCCTCTCCTCCTCTCTCACTTGGCCTCCCCATGTGTGTCTTACAGTCGAGCAGAGCCGGTAACTACCCACTCACCTGACATCCTGGAGCCACCCTTCTTCCCACCTGCTGCTTCAAGACTTTCTAGGCTGCCGTGGGGCTTTCTTTTTACTGTTCAAAAGCTGTAGATTTGTGTAAGAATAAATTTTTATTATGGAAGCCTGGCTCCCACCATCTGTTTCTTACTGCTCTCTTCGCATTTCACAGACACAGTGGGCCTGGTCAGGGACCGCCCCCCCAGCCAGCAAAGCCAACTTCTGTATCAGTGTGAGATTTAATTTTAAGTGTCAACACTGAAAAGTTATACAGATTTAAAAAAAACAAACATTACACAACATCCACCATCTTTAAAACAGTGAGAACCCTCTGCTCAGGAGGCAGACTGGCCTCTGTACCGTGAGCCACAGGTAGCAGGGCCAGCAGGGGCCCTGCCCTTCTCCCATCCTTGACCTCAGTCTTAGCTTAACAGGAAGTTGAACCCCAGCACCCTGGCCTCTTGTTTTGTAGCAAAGACAGAGTTGGGAGGCCAGGAGCCCTGTCTGTCTGGAAGTTGTATTCCAGGGCAACAGGCTGCAGCCCTGGGCCAGCTCCTGCCCACCCTGAGTCCCAGCTGGGGTTTAGTAGAGGCAGCCAGAAGCAGGTCAATCAGGTCCAACTCCACCCTGGCTGTTCCTGGGTTTGGTGCCAGCGAACAACTGTTGATGCCCCTTCTCTGGAGGCAGGAAGGTGGAGGGAGCAGGGCAGTCGGAGAGGAGGGGACAGTCTTCAGTATGTGCAAAAGGTGCTAAGGCCACAGGAGCTGGTGGCCTGCCAGAACCTTGTGGTCACATGCCAGACTCTGACGGCCTGAGGACCTGGAGAGAGAGGAGTCCAGTGAGGACAGCCTGGCCCGAGGCTGCCTTCTGGCCTGCACCTCCACACCAGGGTTGGCCCTTACCCTAGTCTGGTTGTGGCTGGAGCTGGATGTGGATGTGGTGAACTCCGAGTACTTATTCCCAGTGACCATGCAGGCCCACTTCTGGTACTCCTCCCTCACCTGCAGGGTCCGAGATGCCAAGTTAGGGAGAGGCAGCCCCAGGAAGTAGGGGAAAGGGGAGGGTACTGGCCCCCCCGTAGCTAGACCCCAAGCCCACCTTCTTGTTGAGCAGGCAGTGCAGCAGGAAGAGGAAGAAGCCCTGCAAGCAGTTGAGGATGGTGAAGGCATAGGTCAGCACTTGGCTCCTCGGGTTGAAGAGAAACAGGCCGAAGACCCATGTGCAGCCCAGCACCAAGAGCTGTGCAATGGCCGTGATGGTCAGCACCCTGGGGGAAGGAGGGCAGCTGCAGCAGAGGGCCACCGCACACACACATGTACGTCAGCCCCCCTCTGTCAGCCCCTGCCCTTACCTGGCCTTCTTTAATTTCTTCATGTCTGGGTTGATCTCAGAGAACTTCTGAGTGAGCTTCCAGACAGTTGTCACGAAGATGACAGCATTGCACTGGGTGGGGAGCAGAGTTTGGATTAGGGGTTATCCTTGGAACTCACAGGGAGAGAGCTGGTCTATTGGGCTCAGTGAGGGGCCAGATGGCTCAGTCCTTAAAGGTAGAGTGTGGGGGGTTAGTTACCAAAATGATGAATGTCACAGGTCCCAGGAAGCTCCAGAGAAAGCCGGAAGACAAGGTCAGCCAGCAGCTGGATAAGAAGGGAGGACTCTGGTCAGGAACCAGAGGGGAGCCCAAGGGAAATGGGGCACTGTGTGCGCTTGTAGCCCCGTGCCCCCGGCTGGCCCCCAGCCCTCCTGTGGCTCCACTACTCCGAACTCACTAGAGAGGGCGGCCGTAGCCCTGGCTCCTGGAGGCCGCCGAGATGGCCACGATGAGCCCGGGAATGCCGTAGCCGATCAGGTAGAGCCAGCGCTTGCGCAGGCCCTGGCCCTGGAACACACGCACCACGAGGAAGTAGAGCTCCAGGCCCTCGAGGCTCATCCAGCAGAAAGCAGCCAGGAAGAAGTAGTGCAGCAGTCCGGCCACCAGGCGGCAGCGCAGCCCCACCTGCGGGGAGGGCAGGGCGACATCAGCGGGGAGCCAGTTCCTCACCACAGCATTTATAACCGGTAATGGGGGGGGGGGGGGAGGCGTGGCCAGGCGGTGCTCAAGCAGGAGCGTGAGCAGCGCCTAGCCGCGGGTCTCTCCCACCTTGCCCTGGGAGTGGGCGGGGCTACTCCTACCCTGGGCCTGCTGGCCTAGCGCCCAGGTGAGTGGGACACTCCACATGGCGGGGCCTCACCTGACCGTCGTTGTTGTTCTCGATGCCTGCCAGAAATATGGCAGAGCCTAGGAAGAGGCATATGCAGAGATGCAGGTGCACGGTGGTGCGCGCGCCCTGGATGGGCCGCACTAGCAGGAAGGTGAGGATGCACAGCAGCAGGCAGACCAGCGACAGCGACAGTCCCACCTTGGTGATCAGGGCCAGCTTAGGGTCCTAGATGCAGGATGTGGTGGGTGGGGCTTAATCAGACCCTGGGGCCTTGTGGGTCCCACAGCCCAGACCCACCTGGGACCTGCCTGGCCTGCAGAACTCAGATCAATCAGGCTGATCACCTCCCCAATCTCTTCTGCCTTCAACATCTCAGCAAGCCTGCTGTGTCTCTGTCATCCTAAACCCCTCCTCCCCCGCCGCCACCACACACACACACACACACACACACACACACACACACACACGGGTACAGCAAGAATCCCACTTTGCACCCAGACTGCTTTCTGGAAAAGGTTCCCAGTGAAGTCTTGACTGTCATATCCTTTTCCAACACTGATGGGTCCCCTTCTCAGACCTAATTTCCTGCCCCTCTCACACCTGGCCACACTTATCAGCTCACAAATCCTACATTTCAGTACTTCCTGAGCCTTTGGCCAGGACCACCAACCTCCAGTGCTCTGCCTGGCCCATTCCAATTATCCATGTGGCTCAGTTTATCTATGGATCACCTGAGGCCACATACAAAAAGCTGTGCCCTAGCTTTTACCCATATTGAACAATTGGATCAACTGGATCAGGGTGGCTAGTCAGAGGGACACCAGTTAGAGCAGGGCCTCCAGTGTCAGGTCACACTGTTCAGTTGCTGGGTCATGGGGGGAGCTGTCCTTGGGTCCCAGGGAAGGGGCTGGGGGGGCACGGTGTGGAACCACCTGAGCTGTGCAACCATACAAAATCATCTGGGCCACACCATCAAGAACCAGCTGCTTGTCTCACCCAAGCCAACCTTGCATCTGGGCCTTTGAGGGTGGCCCTGCGGCTGCTCACCTCCACGTCATAGTGGGCCATGAGGATGGCAAAACTGCTCAGGTGGTTGCATTTGCAGTTGGTGTTGCCATCCCTGCTGCCCAGCTTCTGGCAGCCTGTGGTGGACCAGTACCCACTGCTGTTATCACCCTTCCAGAAGGCACAGATTAGCTCCTGCCGTGGTTTGAGCGTCTGATTCTGTGGGCAGGTGGGGATGGTCAGAGATGTTAGCCTAGAGCCCATTCTTAGGTTCTGAGCTTGGGCTGGGTCTGAGGAAGGCTGCTTTTCATTGGCAAGTATTTACTGAGTACCTACTGTGTGTGCCAAGCCGGGGCACAGCAGTGAACAGGGCAGACACAAATCCCTGTCCTTGTGGGGCTGATATGCTCATTGGGGAGATAGAGAGTAAATAATAAACCTAATAGATAAGTAAATTAGATAGTATTTTAGAAGGTGGTAAGTGCTATTTAAAAAGAAGAAGAAGCAGGATAGGAGAAATGAAGAGCATGAATTAATTACAGATTGTAATTTTAAGTAAGGAGATCAGAGAGGGCCTAAAAGAGAAGGTGGTATTTGAACAGACTAGAAGCAGGCAAAGGAATGAATCATGTGATGGAAAGGTGTCCCAGGCAGAGAGCACAGCAAGTGCAAAGGCCCTGGGGTACATCTAAAGAAGTAGCAGAATAGGCAGGGGTGGGGAAATGAAGACTTCAGAGGGGCTATGGGGTGAACAGTGGGGCTGATCCTCCCTTCTCACCCAAGGACTCACAAGGTGGGAGAAGTAGAAGGTGACAGGGAAGTCTAGTTTCGATGTGTTCTTGTTGCTCAGAAAGACCGTGTTGATAGTAGAGAGGAGCGTGAGCTGGGCACCGTTGACAGGACTTTCATGTATCTCTTCCAGCTGGGCTTTCTTCTCAGAGTCCAGCTCCAAGGAGGCATTGACCAGCAATTTCTGCATGTTTGGGATGGAGAGTATGCCTGCCACGGCACGGCCTAGGGGACAGACATGCTGGCTGCCTTCTCCTGCCTTCCCTCCTCCCTCCTGAGATGTCTAAATTAGGCTTGGCCAGTCTACTGTGATGCCTGGAGTCCCTCCCAATGGCTCCGTTTCCAATTGTTACACATTTGAAACCTCACCGCAAGCACATCCCAGCTCTTTCTTCCCTCTCCCACAGGTGCCTCCTCTGGCTCCCTGCTGTTACCTGGGTCCCCAACTTCAGCTGCCTCAGCCCAGTTCAGCAGCATTCGTGCATGACTCCGGCCCATGGTGATGGTTCCATTCCCTTGCTCCTGGATCACCAGGGACAGCTCTGAGGGGAGAGGGGCAGTGACGGGGGGCTCCAGATGCAGGATGGGGCCTGGGACTAGGGCAGAGCAGGGCAGAAAGAGGCCTCACCTGTGTTCGAAGGGGAATGGTAGGTGAAGGAGTCTCCAGGCATGTTCTTGGCCAGGGTCCTCAAGACTTCTTCAAGGTATGACAGCAGGTGGGTGGCCAAGCGATGCCGGGCAGGCAGGGCCAGGTTCTCCACGTCCCCGGGGCCTTCCAGTAGCTTATCCAATGACGTGATAAGTTTCTGGGGTGATTTGTGACAGTTGCTGGGTTACTGCACCACAGGGACCTCCCCCCAAAGACCCTGATCTCACTCCCTCACTAGGGAACACACTGAAAAACCACGCAGGTTGCTTGGGGGACAGACAGCAGAACCATCTAGACAGTGCAACAGCCAGAGGACAAGTAGGGGATCAAGTGCGTGCCTGTGTGCACGTGTAACCATGGCACTTAGCATTTATCAGTCGCTGACTTTCTGACAGGCTCTCTTCTAAGTCTGCACTGTCCAGAATAGTCACCACAGGTCCCACAAGTCACGTGTGGCACCATGTTGAAATAGTAATATTTTGGATCTGTTGGGTTAAATGCAATCTTCACATTAATTTCATTTGTTTATTTTTACTTTTTGTTGTTGTTAATCCTCACCCAAGGATCTTTTACCATTGATTTTTTTTTTTTTTTTTTTTTTTTGAGAGAAAGGAAGGAAGGGAGGGAGGGAGGGGGGAGAGAGAGAGAAACATCGATGTGGGAGATAAACATCGATTGGTTGCCTCCCATATGTACCCTGATTGGGGATCAAACCTGCTACCTTTTGGTGTACAGGACTACGCTCCAACCAGCTGAGCCACCCAGCCAGGGTTACTTTTACTTTTTTAAAAAAAAATAAAGCTACTGGAGTCCTGGCCAATTTGTCTCAGTGGTTAGAGCGTCAGCCAGCAGAACAAAGGGTCACTGGTTTGATCCCTGGCCCTGGTTGGGTCATACAGGAAGGGACCAATCAATGTATCTCTCTCACATCAATGTTTCTCTCTCTCTCTCTCTCTCTCTCTCTCTCTCTCTCTTTCTCTCCCCATCCCTCCCTCCCTCCCTCCTTTCCACTCTATCTAAAAATCAATGGAAAAATATCTTTGGGTGAGGATTAACAAAAATTAAAATTAGCCCTGGCCAGTTTGGCTCAGCGGTTAGAGCGTCGGCCTGCGGTCTGGAGAGACCCGGGTTCGGTTCCCGCTAAGGGCATGTACTTCGGTTGCAGTTTGTCCCCGGCCCTGGTTGGTCGTGCGGGTGGCAGCCACTCGATGTGTTCCTTTCACATCGATGTTTCTCTCTCTCTCTGTTCCCCTCTCTCCCTCCCACTCTACCTGAACAAAAAATGGAAAAATGTCCTCGGGTGAGGATAAAAAAAAAAAAAAAATTTAAAATTAAAAAATAGTCCAGCTGGTGTGGGTCAGTGGATTGAGCTTTGTCCCTGTTTGATTCCCAGTCAGGGCACAAGCCGGTGTTGCAGGCTCAATCCCCAGTAGGGGGCGTGCAGGAGGCAGCGGATCCATGTTTCTGTCTCACATCAATGTTTCTATCTTTCCCTTCCTCTCTCTCTAAAAAATCAATAAAAACATATTTAAAATAAAAAATAAAGCTACTGAAACATTTAAAATGTCATAAGAGGCTCATATATTTCTACTGGGCTAAGTACATATGCTAAAACTTACGTCCAGTGCTTACTGTGTGCCAGGCACTATTCTTTGAGCCTTCTCTTAGTTCATTCAAACCTTCACAACCACTGTGTGAAGCAGGAGTCTGAGGCCCAGGGGGGGAGTCACTGGCCTGAGGGCACAGCAGTGTATGGGGATTTGAACCTTTGGCTCGGCTCTAGAGGCAAAATTCTCAGTTGCTTCATTCTGTAGCCATTATACCCCTCTTCAGTGAGAGTGTGGGTGTGCGGGCCCTGCTCCAGCCACTGGGGAACCCAGGAATCGGGGTGTGTGTGTGTACATCTGTATTTGTGTGATGGGGATATGTATGGTGTGTGGATATTATGCAAACATCCACATGTGTTTCTCTAATCAGAGGCCCCTGCTTGGGCTGTTTCCACTCATGCTGAAGCATCCCCCAGCCACCCCGACACTGTCTGGGATCCCCCCAGGTCCTGCCCTTACCTGGATGGTGTCCTGGGCCAAGGCAGACTTGAAGTCTCTCTCCAGACCCTGGACTCTTTCAGAGAAGTGGGAGAGACTCTGGGGAGAAAGGAGATGAGGGATCAGAGAGCCTCACATGTGGATAGGGGAGCATGGGGTAAAGGGGTGGAGGGATCCTTGCCTTCTGGTCCCTGCTGGAGTCACTCACCTGGCTCTTGATTCCAGGGTCCAGGGTCCAGGTGGGGAAGATCTCTGCTGGGGATAGAACAGCTGCTCATTAGGTGTGAGAGTGTGTTGGAGGCAGGGTCTAGTGTCAGACCAGGTACCTTCACACTGGGTAGTCCTTTGTTTATTCAGGAATCTGGGTCCCTCTCCTCTCCATGCCCCACCCCATTCCCCATGTTAGTGCCCCCTACCCCCACCCCTTGGCTGGAGGTGATGACACCTGGTGACTGCACATCCCTGAGTGGCAGACAAAGGGATTGTGGGAAGTGTGCAGAGGTCTGACACATAGCAGGTGAGCCCATACTGAGGTACAGGGTGTGAGATATTGAAATAACCTTTGTCCCAGCCCTGGCTGGTTTTGCTTAGTGGTTAGAGCGTCGGCCCACAGACCATAGGGTCTCAGGTTCAATTCCTGGTCAAAGGGCATATACCTGGGTTGCAGGTTTGATCCCCGACTCTCAGGGTTGTGTGGGAGACAACCATTCGATGTGTCTGTCTCACACTGATGTTTCTCTCTCTCTCTCTCCCTCCCTCCCTTCCACTCTAAGAAAATCAATGGAAAACTATTCTTGGGTGAGGATTAACCAAAAAAGTAATATCTGAAATAACCTTTGTCCCAGTTAGTAATTAGCTGTTGCCTGGGGTCCCCCAGGAAGTTTCCCCTTGGCACCCTAGCTTCTTTCCTGGGGCCCCCAGATCTTTTCCCATTTAGCCTTAAAATAATTAAAGCCTGGCACAGCAGGGCACGCCCAGCAATCACTCTGCTGGGTTCATGTGGGTGCCATTCAATAAGTGATCAGATGGTTTGAGTTGTGGATCCTGGGGTGTGTGGGATCTGAACTCCGAACCTTCACAGACGGTGTTGTTTGAGCCATTGGGGGACCCAGGAACAGGCTTCCAGCCAGGGCGGCAGCGGCATTCATAGCTGCCCAGGATGTTGAGGCAGTGGGTAGAATAGTGGCAGGGGTTTTGCCCCGAGGTACATTCATTCACATCTGAGGACAAAGCCAGAGCGTCAGGCCCTCCGTCCACTCTCTGCACCTTCCTTCCTGCCCCTTCTCTCGAATTCCTTTGCAGTTAACACCAAGGACACCCCCACTATGCCCCACTACCAGCCACCTAGCCTGTCAGGATACACATTTGTGATGACATTTCCCCCAGTAAAGGCCCCATAAGCGTCCCTGCAAGGTGGACAGGGCAGCACTGTGTGTGCGATGGCATCCCAGAGCTGTGTCCCCCATGTGTGGTGTAGGATGGGCTCTGGGGGCCCTGCGATGGGCCTCTAACCAGCGAGGCTGCAACACCGATGGCTCTCCAAGTGTTGATGCTGTGGGTTGTGGCACAGCTGCCATCCACAGCCACGCTCCTGTCCGTGTTAGAACAGGATCCGAAGCTCAGCCCTGAGCAGCCCAGGTCCCCCTGTCCTCACTGCCTGCGCTGAGGACACACGGATGCTGAAACCGTTGCTGCCCCTTGTCTGCCAAAGCTCGTTATGGCAGCTTCCTTTTAGGTAGCTCCACAAGGTAAGGAAGATGTGGTACATTTATGGGATCTGAATATGAACCTTCACAGATGGTGGTGTTTGGGCCGTTGGGGGACCCAGGAATCGGCTTCCAGCCAGGGCGGCAGCGGCACTTATAGCTGCCCACGATGTTGAGGCAGTGGGTGGATTTGTGGCAGGGGTTTTGCCCCGAGGTACATTCATTCACATCTGAGGACAAAGCCAGAGCGTTAGGCCCGCCCTCCACTCCCTGCACCCACTTCTCATTGCCCAGCACTAAGGACCCCACACATGCCACCATCTGGTGACCTTCAACTCCACCCTCAAAGCTCCTAATGGTGGCCTCCCTGCAGGAAGGACATTTCAGGGACCATAGTCTCTAGTTCATAGGTGGCAAAACCAAGAGGGAAACTGAGTCACCAGGGCTCAACTTCCTGACCAAGGACTCCTGCCTACTCCCTTCTGGGCCCTGTCCCAAGTTCACTTCCTGAGAATCAGCAATGATACCTCCCTCTGCTGCATGTGACAGATGAGGAAGGGGAAGGGTCTGGGATGCTCACAGGGGCTCCACAAGGAAACCCAGGGCCCAGAAGACCCTGCCATCTCCCAGCTCTCTGGCAGGACTGTCAGGGAGGTGAATCCTTAGGCAAGGCCTTGGCATTTCGGGAACCTGAGCATGTTCTGCCTCCTGCGGCTGCGGGACCTGCCTCGGCTCCTTCCCCAGCTCCTGTCCAGCCTCAGAGCATCTTCCTGGGCCTCTACCTTTGCACAGCTTTGGGTCCTCCCGGTTGAGCTCAAACCCGGGGGGGCACTTGCAGGTGTAGCTGCCCTGGGTGTTGACACAGATGCGGCGGCTTTTACAGATCCCGGGGTTCAGCTGACATTCGTCTATGTCTGCAAGGGGAAGGAGAGGGTGGTGGATGCCTTCAGGGCCGGGAGTCAGCCACATTTACTGGCACAGAAGCATCTGGAAGGCCCCACTGCCTCCTCCTAGGTGAGTGGATGCCTTTTCTAATCCACATGGAGCCGTCCTATGGGTAAGCATGGTGGTCTAGATGCTCTGTTGTCCAGATGAGGCCAGAAGTGGCCCAAGTCCTTCCTGCCAGCTCTGACTCCCTGACTCCCGGGCAGCTCCTCCCTTGGGCAGGGACATCAGTGCCACGTGCCCCAGCCTGAGGACTTGGGCAAAGGCCAGGGTGGGTCATCCTGGAAACCAGTGCAGGAAAAATGCTGCATTCCCTGAGCAGTGCTCGTTTTGGTGGCCTTTGTCCTGACTCCTCCAGGACGGTGCTGTTGGCTGAGTTCTCCTTGGAATCCTGGTGACTCTGGTGAGACATCGCTCTCCACCCACATGACTCCTGAGACTCCAGCCCATGGAGATGGACCGAAACCATCCCTGAGCCTGGCCCCTCGAGGAGAAGGCTTCTAGGCAGGGGCCCAGAATATGACAATGATGCCAGATGGCCAGGGCCACCTGGGCAGTGGGTGCCAGGCTGTGATGGACAGTGGAGCTCACATCCAGCCCACAGCCTTGGGGCATGAAGGTGCCTCTTCTGATCCCCATGAAGGCACCTCATGGGCTGGAAGGAAGTGATGATAATCCACATGTGAGCAAGCCGGCAGCGGGCAAGGGCTGGGTGCCTGGAGCAGGGAGCAGGTGCTGATGGGTGGAGAGTGGCAGGTGTTTTTGTCATCTGGCTCCTTGTTCTCCCACCAGGGACACAGACCTGTGGGCCTTGCCAAAAGGAGCTCAGCCTCCATCTTCTGTCCCCCAGTGGTTTGGGCCCCCAAGGCACCTGGGTTGACCTCCTCAGGAGAGGGTGAGGCCCAGGGGCAGTGGTCCCTGACGACACCCTCTCTTGTCATCTGGTCCATGTGGGAGCCTCTTCATTCACCCCACTGTCAGAGTCTGGGGCGGGGGGGGGAAGGTCGACGTCACTCTGTTTACCCCTGACATGTAACTTTTTCTGGGTCCCAGTCATCCAAGCTGCCCACAGTCCTATGAGCTGAAATTACCGGGGAGGGTCAGGGTGGGGGCTTGCTTGGGGAAATGGAGGATGAGTGGCTGCTAACTGGGGTCAGGGTGCCCGGAGGCACTTTTTCCAGGTGCGGTTGTTGGCCAGAGGCATGGCCAGCTGGGGGAGGTGGCCTGAATCTCCTCTCAATTTTCATGAGGGAATCCCTGGGTCCATCATGGCCCGGGGGTCTGAGAGGGCTCCTGGCACCGCTGATCCTGTGTGGGCTCCAGTGGTGTCAGGTCTCGGCCCAGCAGTCACTGGTGATGGTGAAGGGCGATACTGCTCTGGAACGTTCTGCGCTGTGAGCTCCCGAAGTATCTTGAAAGCCACCACCCTCTTTGTTTTATGCAATAAGGTGCCAGGTTGCAGCGAAGACATTCCGACCTTCTGGAAATGGCCTCTGCAGAGGGTTCTGAGCCTTGGGGTTCAGAGAGGGTTGGGAGACCAGACAGGTGCCTGGGATGGCCCTTTGATGCCTTAAGCATGTGGGACAAGCAGGCAGGAGTGGCCCGGGTCAGCTGCTCAAAGCAGACCTCGTGGGCCATGACGCGAGCAGACGCGTCCTCAGGAGCGGCGAGGCTGGAGAGCTGAGGTGGGCAGGTGCACAGACGGCCCAGCTGAGCCTGTCACAAAGCTCGGTCTTCAGGTGGCAGGTCCTGAGCAGACCAGCAGGCTGCTCTCTCCCTGAGGGCCCACCTCTCCCACCTCACTCTGTTCAGCCATGTCTCTGCGAGCAGCTCCAGCCCTGTCTCTCGGCCCTGGCCTGTTTCTCACACAGCAGCTCGTCTCCTCAGTGCCACAGCCACCACCGTGTGCAGGGCTTGCGGTGGTCCAGGCACACTGAATGGCTTGCTCTCTGCACAAGGGTGTCCAGTCAAGGAGGCAAATGGGGGCTAACAACAGCTCACTGTCCATTCCCCAAACACAGTGCTCACCTGGGGAAGAGGGACCTTTTCCCAATTCTCATGAAGGCTCTGCCCTCTGGTCAGGCTACATATTTTGGGCACGATGACTACCCACAGATGCCCCTGTGGACCAGCAGTGCAGTGGGTGGAGCCCTCCCACTGGGCTCCATGCAGGTGCATGAGGGATGGGGCTGGGGCCCTGGTTTCGGACTCTTCTCCCAGCAGCAGGTTTGGCCTGTGGACCCTGCTCAGAGTCCTCCAGGATCCTGGGCTCAGCCTCCTCCTCCTCTCTCTCTGTATTCTGCACTAATCCGCTCTCTCGAGGTGAGTCCTGGCTTCTGCCTGACCACTGCTGGCCCCACCTGCCCCTGGGGTTGCCTGAAGCCCTTTCCCTGTCCATCTGCTCCCCCTGAAAGGGGTCAGTGCCTGGTGATGCATGGAGGCCTGGATCCTCCTGGGTCCCTGGTGAGGGAACGGATGGGCCAGCTGTTCTCTGAGCAGCCACCATGGGGCAGTCCCCAGGGATGTGCAACCTGGAGGTGGTGACTTAGATCATGATGACTGTAATCTAAATACCCTACAGCCTCCACTGTGCTGTGCTCTGTGATCTCATACACCACCCCAGCAATTCTGTGAGGTAAGCACCATTGTCCCTCCCTTTTACTGATGAGTAAATTATGGAACACAGAGATGAAGAATGTGTCCAAGGTTATACAGTTAATAAAAGACAAAGCTACTTTTGTTTTTGTCTTTAAAAGATAGGCACTGTTTTTTCTTTTACACACAAAATCACAATAATATTATCACATCATATTACCAGTGATTTCTGAGTCAGTGTCCTGGCTGGTGTCGCATACACAGCTGTCAGGTCACAAAGCCAGGATTTGGGTCCCTGGCTCTCATGCCACCCTGCCTCTCTGTGTTGGTGGGACAGGCACAGGCACAGTTGTCCCCACTCCTACTGGGAGCAGCACCTGCCCCCAGGGCCCTGCACCCTGCGTGCTGCAGGAGTGGCTCTGCTGACTCCAAACCTCATGGACGGGGAGATGGAAGATGCAGGTCATTCTTACCTTGGCACGTGTTCTCACTCTCATTACTGAACTTTGTTGCCCCAGAAACAAGCTCGTATCCTGGGTTGCATGTGCAGTAGTAGCTCCCCTCCGTATTCTGGCAGTCTGCGAATTTTCCACAGGACACTGTCGAGGGTGGTCCACATTCGTTGATGTCTGGAACAAAACAGGATAAAGGGTCACCTTCCAAAGGCACCAGTGCCCTCAGGGCAGAGAGCCTGGTCCTCTACCTAGCATGGAGACTGATGCTTAATCAGTGTCTTTTGGAAAAGAATCAAACTCTCATGCAACACTGCGGTAGCTGGGCTGTGCCTGGAGTAAGCCATTCCTGAAACCCACTCAATCAGACTGCTCTTCTCAGCTTTCTGCCTGTCATGCTGGATTTGGATACAGGAGAAACTATTGAAGTGGTGGGTGGGTGGAAGCTCTGCATCCCCCTCCTCAGTCCTGGAAGGGCAAAAGGAGATTTCAGACTCCTGGAGACCCAGCTCCTGTCTCTCTACAAAGCCATGTTTATTCACTTCTCATTTTTCACCTTCACATCTTTTTCTTTCTCTTTTCTCTGTCCCTGATAACAGTCTGAGAACAAAGACCGAGGCCCCTAACCACCATTTCCGTCTCCATGTGGCCCTCCACCACCCCAAGCCTCTGTACCATCACAAGTATCCAAGATGCTGGTGATGACCTCCCCAGAAAAAGAGGCGAATCCTGGATGGCAGCGACAGGCAGTGGCGTTGACACATGTGGAGTGTGGAGGGCACCACGAGGCACAGTCCATGGTGGCCGAGGCTGTGGGGATGGAAACTAGTCAGAAGATGAAGGCTGAGCCAGGGGCTGGGAAGGGGTGATGGGAAGGGTGACCCTGAGCTTCCCCTGCACCAGGCCTTTCTCCTGCCTGGGCTGAGAGGTGCAGGTGGGGGTTGGGACTCTGGCTGTGGACTGAGTTACTCCCAGCAGACTCACCCCTGGTGTTCTGGAGTCCATCTTCCAACAGAGTCAGCAAGGCACACAGTGCTGGAACAGAGAGATGGAGGGTCAGGGGGGACACAGGACAGGGAAGGGCTCACAGAGGCCTGAGGGTGACACATCTGAGGGAAGGGGGCTGCTCATCCCGTCCAGGTTTGGGCTCTGTCCCTCACTCAAGGAGAGAGTGGGCAGGTGGCACCTCCCTGCCTCCAGCGCCCATGGCCAGTGGGTCTGCACCCATCGCCTGAAGATGGGTTTCAGGAACTGAAGGATGGGGAGGGGCCCGAGCCTGGCAGGGGTTTGGCTTCTGCTGACCTGTGGGCAGCAGTTCAGGAAACAGACTAGTGTCAGGTGGCCTAGGTCCTAGTCCCAGGCCTTGTTCTGGTGCCTCAGTTCCTCGTTTCCCCTTCTGTAGAATGGGGGTGAAGAGGGAACCCATTTCCTAGAGTAGCTTTAGAGTTAAGCACACAAGTACTGCCTGGTGTGTCAAAGTGTTTACTGTCATTATTTCTTTATGTAAAAATGTAGAGCCCTGGCTGGATTGACTCAGCGGTTGGCGCATCAGCCTGCAGACCAGAGAGTCCTGGGTTCGGTTCCCACTAGGAGCACATACCAAAAAAAAAAAAAAAAAAGTAATGTTGGACCAAGTGTACTCTCAGATTCTCCCAAAACTGAGATGCTCTGGCCCCTCACCCTTCCTCAGGGTCACACGTGCAGAACACCACACCCACATCTGTCAACCACATGACCAGCTTGGGACCCAGTAGTGACACTTCACCCCCAGGACATAGAAAGATGCTGTCAGCTCATGTTAGGGTGGTTCTTCATGGTCCCCCAATCCTGTTCTTCCTGTTGCTCAGGGGCACCCCCTCCTCCCAGGGCATGTCCGGGGGGGTCTTCCTTAAGTCAGCAAGGGGTGTAGAGATGGGGACCTCCTTGCTGTTCACCAGACAAAGAAGGAGACAGAGATGGAGAGAAAATATAGAGGAGACAGAGACAGAGAGAGGGACACAGAATGAGCTAGAGACGTAGAGAGAGGAGACAGAGGGAGAAAGGACACAGAGTGGAGAGAAAATGAAGAGATGTGAGAGGGAGACAAGGAGACACAGAGAGATGGAGAGAAACAAAGAGGCAGAGGTAAGAAGACAGTGACAGAGATGGACAGAGAAATAGGGAACTCCTAGCAAGGGAGAGACAGAGATGCCAGCAATTGGACAGAGAGATAGAGAGATTGAAAGTGAGATAGAGAAACAGAAACAAAGAAAGGTAAGGCAGGGAGGGTGGAAGGAGGCTGGGCAGCAGGTGGGGGGTGGAAAGGGCTTGAGGAATCTGTCCAGTTCCTGCTGATGTGGAAATGCTGGGAGGCAGCCTGACTTGGATCATCCAGGGAGACCAGACAGGGGACAGCAGGTGGAGGGATGGGGCCAGGGAGGCAGGGCAGGCCTGTGTCACTTCCTGGGCCAAATGAAGGGTTAACTCATGGCTCAGTAGCCATGGAGGAGTTCCCAGGGAAATAGGGGAATTTGGGGGTTAGCCCTTTAGCAAGGCTTGAGGAGCTGTAGGGGGTGCAGACTGGAGGGTCCCCTGAGCACTCAGCTTTAGTGTCCAAACTTGATACTACTCAGGCCAGCAGAGGGCAAAGGCCCCCCTCCCCAAGGCCCTCCTAGATGCAGTAAACTGAGGCTAGAATTCCTCTCTGCCTCCTCTTTGGCCACAGGGCTTGGTTAGTTTTCCCTTTGGCAGAGACCCAATTCCTCTTTGCAGGACAGACCACAACAGGACCTTCCCTGGCTGAGTGGGACCTGGGCAGATATTCATGCCCAGCTCCCTAAGCCCCAGTAGCAACTTTCATGCTCACAACTGCCCTAGGGCAGGGGCTCTGTTTATGTCCACTCTACAGATGGACAAACTGAAGCTCAGTGCCTAGGAAAGGTTTATGGAGAATCTGGTGGAGAGGGCGCTGGGGTAGGTGGAAGTGAGGGGTCAAGTTCTCCAGACCCAGCAGGGAGGGTCTTCTTTGTGCTCCATCAGGCTGAGCTGGGCTTTCCTCCCCCACCACAGAGGCTGCTGGGCTAGATTTTCTCCATCTGGGGCCCTGGAAGTCACCCAAACAGGAGCCTGGAGAGGAGCTGCTGGTTGTCCCCTCCCCGTCCCATCTGGTTTGCATTCCCTTTGCTGAGCCCTGGGCAGTCAGATTCCTGCTTAGGGACCCTGTGGCAGGGGTGTGGCCGTCATTGTCTCCTAGCTCCTCCTGCTAAGGACCCCTAGCCCATCCCCCAGACCCGCCAGTGAAATAATAATAACAACAACAACAACAATAATAAATACTGTTTACTTAATTCTAACTGAACCAGGACTCACTCAACCCTTTACACAGCCCTGCAAAGTGGAGACCAGTCTTGCCCTGCCCCATTTCATAGATGTGAAAAGTGAGGATCAGGGGCTCTGTGACTTGGCCCCCTGACACATCGCCCCTTGAGGTGTGCTCCACATGGATTCCATTAATTTATTCAAAATTATCTGATTGTATGCATGCAACAAGCAAATTATATGCTATGTAAATTATACTTAATAAAGCTATAAGAAACAGCTCTAAGAAACAGCTTGCTCCTGTCACCCTGGGCCAGCACAGGGAGCCCCATCCCTGTGGGCGGGGGAAGTTCTGACTGGCACCCCAATGTCATTTCTTAACTCTCTTTGTTGCCTGGTTGCCCAGGCAACAACCTGCCCTGAGAACCGTTAGAGCCACCCTGGGTGGGGCGGGAAGGAGTCATGGGGGAAGCCACAGCAGAACTCAAGTTCAAACCCACAGCGGCAGAGTCCCAGCAGGGTGTGAGGGAGCAAGACTGGGGGTCTCTGAGCCTTCCCTGCCACTGGACAATGGAAGATGTGTTGGGGTCACCCTATAGTGGAAGGGTCCCCATCCTTAGCTCCCTAGCACCCCTCTGTGCCATCTGTTAGGAATGACTTCTTGGGGGGTCACAGCTCTCACTTTTTGCCCCTCTCCTTCCCCCTGCTTCAGTCTCCCCTCTTAGGGAGCAGCTTCCAAAGTGGATCAGGAAGAGAGCTGCTGGGTGGGGAAACAGGCTCTTAGAGCAGGGAGGGGGGCAGAATTCCTGCCCCAGCGGGGTTGCCCGGCACTGCCAGCTGCTCTCCCATGTGCCCCTGGCACCCTCCTAACCATGTGGCTTCCTCCATGTCAGGCCCCAGAGCTGCCAGCTGTGCCTCCTATTTCTCCAAGTGAGGGGGGATGGGAAAATAGAGGTAATGAAGGGGTGCTGACAGGGACTCCCTTGCCCCTCCCAGAGGGGCCCCAAATTCTCACCATGTTGGATGCTGAGGCGGGGACCTCCCATGGTCTGAGCGGCTGGCAGCGGAAGCAGACGTTTCAACAGGGCAGTCCCCAGTCCCCAGGCCTGGCAGCTCTGCCTTTATAAAGTGTGTGGGGGGGGAGGCACTGCCCCTGGTCCCTCCCCGGAACTGGTGGGGCAGCTGAAGCCAACAGGAAAGTGCAGTAAAAACACAGACCCAGTGGCGCTGCAGGTACACACACACACACACACACACACACACACACACACACACACTGAGGTGTACCCTGCTCTCAGATCCTTTGCCAGTAGCTCCAGTTTGAAATTTTAACAGACACTCTGAGCCCTTGTGCTCACCGGCACTGATCCCGGGGAAAGTGGGAGTGAGGGCAGGGGTGGGGGAGTCTTGCCCAGGGGGCAGTTCAGGTTGGGGAGGGACTATGTCAGAAATAGGTTGGGGCTCCATCGTTTGGGACTCCCCTGTGCCCACTGTCTTGGTGTGTCCTAGTCTCCAAGGCCAGCCCCTGAGCTAACAGTACTCTACTCTCCTGATTTTCAGAGGAGGAAACTGAGGCACAGAGTCCAAATAGGAGCTGGAGGAGGAGCATGAAAGGGCTGTTCGTGGATGCTGGGCAAACACCAAGAAGAGAAGTTTCAGACCACCAAGGGGCCACCATGCTGAAGCCGGCCTTCCTGGGACCGTGTTTCCCCTGGTGGAAAAATTACATTTCGGGGGAATCCTGGGCACCGAGTTAACCAACAGAGAATCACGTGATAGGAAATTTGTTTCCTTTTTGAATAAGTCACATGACCGGCTTCTCTCTGAGGCTATCTAGTAATTTTTAAATACGCTATTATTTATAAAGCCCTAATCTGTTCCAGGCCTGACTCCAGGTGCTGTGTCTGTTTCAACTCATTGACTCTGCAAAACACCTGGAGGCAGGTGGGGCTGCCTCCCAGCTACAGAGCGGGGAAGCTGAGGCACAGCTAACAAGTAGCTCAGCAGAGACCCATGGGCAGGAGGCCTGTCCCCCCTCACCCCCCACCCCAGGTCCAGGAGAAAGTCTCTACAGGGTGCTAATGTGTCTTTAACACCTCAGTGGCCCTGGGGTTTATCCAGCTAGCTTCCATGCTTTTAGGTTCCTGTGTTAAGTTTATGGTCTCAGGGCAACAAACAGGGTTTTCTAGTTGTGACATCAATATACAGTTTCCTTTCTAAATGAGTTATTCAAGGATGCGTGAGTGTAGAAAATTAAAGAAAATATTACGTCCATCAAAGTTCAAAAGGGAAGAAGACTTGTGGTCATGGAAAAATAAGGTCACCAATGGGCTGAAGGCAGAGAGGCAACATCCCAGGGGTGGTGGAGCACCCCCATCCCTAGGGTTAACCCCTTCCTACCCACTGCCATTCCCTTGACCTCAACAGGGCTTGGGAAGGGTCCCACAAGGGTGACCAAGAGGACTGGGGGAGGGAAGTGAACACTGAAGGAGGCTGGGAGGGGTGGGGCCAGACCAGATCTAGAGTGCCTTTTGGCTTTTTTCCAAAAAAGCTGAAACCCCAGGGTGGATGTCCTGCCCCACAGGCCAAGGTCTGACAGCTGGTGCCAGGAGAAGCAGGAGGTGAGAGATCCAGCCTGGCAGAGGTGGAGGCTTAGCTCCAGGGTGCTGACCCCACACCATCCATTCGATCATCCGTTGTTTTTCCTTCTCCGCCCGCAGGAATGTGCCTGAGGCCTGTGGAGCAGGTCTAACCTGTCTGGAACTCAGTTTTCCTGTCTGATGAAGGGGATTAAAAATGCCTGCCCACCTGGCTGGTGTGGCTCAGTGGTTGAGCAGCGACCCGTGCACCAAGAGGTTGCTGGTTCAATTCCTGATCAGGGCATATGCCCAGGTTGTGGGCCTGATCCCCAGTTGAGGGCATGCAGGAGGCGGCCAATCGATGTTCTCTCTCATCGATGTTTCTATCTCTCTCTCCCTCTCCCTTCCTCTCTCTCTAAAATCAATAAAGAAAAAATATATATATATATAAAAAAAAGCCTGCCCACTGCCCTGGCCAGTGTGGTTCAGTGGTTAGAGTGTTGGGCCTGAGCACCGAAAGGTCAGTCACAGGGTTTCATTCCTGGTCAAGGGCATGTACCTGGGTTGCAGGTTCAATTTCTATCCCTAGTCAGGGCATGTGAGGGTCCCTTTCACATGGGTGTCTCTCTCTCTCTCCCCCTCCCCCTTCCTCCTCCCTTCCACTCTCTCTAAAAATCAATGGAAATAAAATATCCTCCAGTGAGGATTAACAAAATAAAAGAAAAGAGAAGATAAAATGCCTGTCCACTGGCCTCACACAACAGGGTGAGGAGGAACTGGGGTAACATAGGAGAAAAGGCTTTGAGATGTTTGCCACAAGCTTGGGGAAGGCAAGAAGAGGAACATCCCCGCCAGCCACCACCACTGTAATCTGGCCTGTCAGCAAGCCCTAGGGCTCTGACTTCCACTAGACCCCAAATTCTCACTTCTGCTCAATGGCCCCACCCTGGTCTAGCCCCATCATCTTCCAGGTCTCTGCCCTGGCTCCTGGCTCCCACACTCTGTTCCCCTCACAGTGGCCCAAAGGTGCCTGGGACCTTCTGAGTCAGGGCACATCCCTCCTCTGCTCAAGAACCCTCCGTAGCTCCCACCTCACTCAGTGTAAATCTCCGATGATGCAGAAGACCCTGCAAGCTTTGTCCTGTCACCTCCCTGCCCTCAGCTCATCCCTCTCCCCACTCAGTCATTTAGGTGCCATTTTTCTTGTGGAAAACACCAGGCATATTCGACCTCAGTGTCCGACCTTTGCAAGGGTGCTTGTCTCTGCCTGGAGCACTCAGGCCTCAGATAACCTCCTGGTTCCCTCTCTCCTGTCCTTTGCTCAGACATTTCTTCACTTATCTCCCAAGTCCAATAGGTAATCCTCTCCTGTCCTCAGCAACCCCAATTGCTCCCCACTGTCCCCATTCTCTGTAGCACCTCATCAGACCCCCATCATGGAAGTTGCCTGCTTCCCTGTTTGCTGTCTGCCTCCACCCCAGGAACTGTCAGGACTCTGACCTCTGTGTGTCTGTGCCCCTCGCAGGGCTCCATAGTTAGTGATACCGCCCAGCTGCTGCCCCCCATGAGCAAACCCCCTTCAGGCTTCCTCATGTGACCCCTGCTGGAGCTTAGGCATCATTCCTCCTTCTTCCTTGTTGTTCTCTGAAGTTCCAGCCCCGCTGACCTATTTGGCAGCCCCCAGACAACCTTGTGTCCTCTGTTCCGCATGGTGTGAGGCAGGGACATGGGTCCCCATTTGTCAGATGGGAAACAGGCACCTGGGGGGTTGGGCCACTGGCCTGAGTTTCCTCAGCTAGGAGGTGCCTGAGCCAGGATGATTCCATCAATAATAATACCAGCATCAGCCCTGGCCAGTTTGGCTCAGCGGTTAGAGCGTCGGCCTGCGGTCCGGAGAGACCCGGGTTCGGTTCCCGCAAGGGCACGTACTTCGGTTGCAGTTTGTCCCCGGCCCTGGTTGGTCGTGCGGGTGGCAGCCACTCAATGTGTCCCTTCACGTCGATGTTTCTCTCTCTCTCTCCCTTCCTCTCTCTCCCTCCCACTCTATCTGTACAAAAAATGGAAAAATATCCTTGGGTGAGGATAAAAAATAAATAAAAAAATAAAAAATAAAAAAATAATACCAGCATTATTTATTACATTATATTATTATTTTCATTGTTACAGCTGCAGCAGGAACAAATCTCCATGGTGAGTGACAGTAGGCATCTCTATGCTTGGCCCTCTTCTGAGCACCTCACAGGGACTGACACTCATCTCCCCAGGAGCCCTAGGAGGCAGGTGCTGTGATTTGCATTAGACAGATGGGGAAACTGAGGCACAACGCAGTGAAATGACTTGCACCGTCACAGGGCACCCCCAGCTCACATTCGAGGTCCTGGGCAAACCCCATCTCTTCCACTTTTGGACTGTGTGATCTCAGGCGGGTTAAGGGACCTCTCCGGGCCTCAGTTTCTCCCTCTGTGGAATAGTTGGAACCTTGTCGAGCACAGGTCAGGGTCATAAGGGAGCAAACACATTGCAAGGACTCAGAGCGGATGTGCAGTTGACATCAGCAGGGGCTGTTTGGATGACCGCCTTCTCTGCAATGCCCTCTGCTGTGGGGAAGAAGAGGGACCCCAATGTCCTGGCCCCCTTCTTCTGCCACCAGCCCATGCCCAGCTCCATTACAAGCCCCAAGTGAGGTGGGGGTCAGATGGGGTCTCCGGATACAGGGGGGCATAACAGGAAGCCTCCTGACTAGGAGACAATGGCAGAGGAAGGGGCCGATCCAGCCCACACATGGATGAGCCCAGCTGCTGGCTCCAGGAGGGCAGCAAAGCTATTGTGAGGCCAGACAGCTGTCCCCAAGCAGGAAGCCCCAGAGAGTGAGGAAAGAGGGTGGGAGGCTGCTGGCCAGCCCTGACCCCAGGCCCAGGGGCAGGTGGCACAGTGGACCCTTTGTCTCCTCCTGCAGGCTGGACACCTGGGTTCCCCCTAGGCCAAGTTTTCAGAGTCTACTTGACCAGATACTACTGGTCAGACCCTGTCCAGCCCCAGCTGACATCCTCCTGAGCCCTGACCCCCACCCATCCTGGCCCAGGGGGTTAGCTGAGAGATAGCACTGAGCTGGGCAGTATTTATAGTTCCCTGGCACTGCTGAGTGAACTCCTAAATATAGAAGCCCAGCTATTTGGGGCCTTGGCCTGGGGCAGAATTGGAGTGGGGACACAACACGTGTGCCTCCCTGACCTGGGCCCCCAAGACTTGCCTGGGCCTCTCAGTGTCTGGGGCTGGGGGTGTCTTATAGACAGGGTGGGAGCCCTGGCCGGTTTGGCTCAGCGGTTAGAGCGTCGGCCTGCGGTCCTGAGAGACCCGGGTTCGGTTCCCACTAAGGGCGCGTACCTCGGTTGCAGTTTGTCCCCGGCCCTGGTCGGTTGTGCGGGTGGCAGCCACTCGATGTGTTCCTTTCACATCGATGTTTCTCTCTCTCTCTCTGTTCCTCTCTCTCCCTCCTACTCTACCTGAACAAAAAATGGAAAA